CGCCGCCGCCGCGAGCATGGCCGCGCACGCGGCGAAGTCACCCGCGCGCGACTCGAGCGCCTCCTGCGCGGGCGTCCGCAGGCCCTCGCCCCGCGAGTAGGGGCTCGCGCCGAGCTCGAGGAGCGCCGCGACCGTCGCCGCGCAGCCGCGCTTCGCGGCCTCGTGCAGGGCCGTGCGCGACGCGTAGGTCATGGCCGCCGGGTCGCCCGCGCGCCCCCACCGCGCGACGTTCCAGTCGGGCCGCTGGTCGATCCACCGCCCGCGGAACTCCGAGAGGCGCACGCCGTGGCCGCTCGGCTGGCCGTTCGAGCCGTCGAGGTAGTTGATGAGCTGGAAGAGCCGCGCGTTGACGTCCGCGCCGCTTTTCGCGAGTTTTCGGACGGCCCCGGCGTCGCCGCGGCCCGCGGCGACGTAGAGCCGGCGGTTGAGGTGCTGGTTCCGGCCGACGCCCTTGAAGCCCACGGGCCGGCCGGCGCGCGCCTGGAGGCTGTCCGGGTCGAGGACCGCCTCCTGGTACCATCGCATGACGGGGACGTCGGGACCGGGCTCGGCCTTGCTCCCGCCGAAGCCCAGGATCGGGCTGAGCGCCACGCGCAGCAAGTCCCAGACGACGAGCTCCGCCGCGCGCGGCAGCACCGAGAACAGCGTGTCGGCGACGCCGCGCGCCGCGGGCAACTGCATCGCGGCCATGATGGGCTGCTTCAGATCATACGAAATTGTTTCATGATCCCGTTCCTACGTTCCTTTCCCCTTCACCGTTTTGGGTGTTGTAGTGCAACATGTTGATTTGAAGTACAAGTGGGAGATTACACAACGTCACAGGGCACAATGCGGGCGACGAAACACACGGGGATCGGTCGGTCGGCGGTTTCGATTGAGTATGGCGCGTCGAGGCTTTGGTCACAGCGCGTCGAGGGTTGAGTATTGCGCGTTCAGGATGGATCACAGGGTCGCCGTCGGGATGTTGTTCTCGTCGAGCGTGAGCTGGACGCGCAACGGCACGGGCATCGGCGGCCGCGGCATCGGGAGCGCCCGCGGCGGAGCCCGAAAGGGCGCCGCCGGAGCCGGAGGACGCGCCGGCGGAACCGCCGGAACCGGCGGAGCCCGATAAGGCGCCGCCGCAGCCGGAGGACGCGGAGCCCAAAGAGGCGCCGCCCGC